CATCGCAGTGTTGGCTCCTGGTTTTCAACACCGGAACACTCACTGGCTTTGAAGATGAAAGGGGCTGTGAGTCAAGGGATGGAGAAGCCTCCAGAAGCTCTACCAGGCAGAAATGGGTTCAGCATTCAACCTTTAAAAGGTTTTCTTTTTTATCCTGTACATGCCTTGATTTTGGCTTAGAGACCCATTTTGGATTTTTGACCTCAAGAAGTGTAAGCATGTCCACGGGCTTTTAAACTATTGGTTGTAAAGTGAGAAATTTAAACAACTTAAAGAAACTTCAGGAATGAATTGAGAGAGAGAGAGAGAGAGAGAGAGAGAGAGAGAGAGAGAGAGAGAGAGAGAGAGAGAGAGAGAGAGATGGGGGTGGGGGTGGTGGCCGGGAAGGGACCAGTAGGGAGAATTCCTGCAGAGCTGGTTTGATTCCGGAGTGTTAGCATCTAGCTTTGATCTGACTTTAGTGAATGCTACCTTCTGTCTTTGAAGTCTTAGCTGAGAGTTTTCCTAGGGGTTCAAAGCCTATGCAAACTTGGTTGAGGGACAACCCAGAAAACTGTGGTATTCCTTAACTGAGAATTTGCATTTGGCATTGTCCCTTTGGGGGACTTAGAAAAGAGGTTTTGGTATAGGATCGACTTGCTAAAGGTATGAAATGTATAACAATAAAAGGGCCCTTTGCTAAGCTACAGCGAGTCAGTCCATGAGAGGCTGATCCCCTTGCAGCTGGAAAAGGCTAAAATCATCCTTAGAGTGTTCTGTGCCTTCTTTCCATAGACCCGCATGAACCCACATCCAATATGACAGGGACCAGTAGCAGCAGTAGACTGGGATGAGACACAGCATGACCCACAGCCTTGTGGCTCTGGGAGGGGCTCCCATGGGGCTCGGGTGTGAAGGAATAAGAACAGCACAGGTATGAGGCAGAGCTGGAGCTGAGGCAAGCAGGTACAGAGACCATGGTACCCCCTTTGCCACTTTTCTGCAAAGGGCTCCTGCTCACGGGTGAGATAGGTCCCTCAGGTGGCTGGGAGGAGGGGGAAGAGACGCTAAGAGGAGATTCACTCCCTGCTTGAATCCCAAGGGGCAGGGACACAGGGAGGGACAGAGGTTGTTGCGGGGAGTGGGGAGTGATGCCAGATTATACTTTCTTCAATGTGAATCACCATTACCTGCTGTATTTTCCCTGGATACTGGCTGCTGGGGTCCAGACAGGTGTCACACAGCACTTGGGAGTGGAAGCAGGTGGATGTCTGTGCGTTTGAGGCCAGCCTGGTCTATATAGTGGGTTCCAGGACCCCCAGAGCTGCATAGTGAGACCCTATCTTGACCCTCCCCACAAAAGAAAGGTGGAGTGGGGGTGGGGGTATGCTTCCAACCAGAGACTGGGGGGTGGAGGAGGGTACTGTAATGATATGGGCTGTGGGAGGCTCTTGCTGGCTGGGTCAAGGTGTCATGCAGGTGACAGAAACATGCTGCAGTCATGGTGGGCTGCAGTCACTCACACCCCAGGCACTGCATCCATGTGGAAATGAGTTTATTATCATAGAAAGATAGAGAGAAAGATAAGGAAATAAGGAGAGAGAAGAAAAGAGAGGAGGGGAGAGAGGGGGCGATGGTGTACACCTCATGGAGGGGGGAGGGAGGAAGGGCAGAAGAGAGGAAAAGGGGGAGGAGTGTTCTTCTTAAAGGGAACACAGGATGGCGTCAGGAGGACATCGGGCGGGTCCCCAAGGGGTGGGTCAGAATACTAACATTCTTCTGTGAGTTACTGGTAGCGAGTGGGGGGAAGAAAGAGGGCGCTGAATTCTTGAGATTGCTTCACGCTGACAAGGGGCGAAGTGGGTGGGGGGAGTTGGAAGTCTGGGGTCACACACGGCAGGAGGTATAAGTGACAAGCAGAGTTGGCTGTCATGGTGGAGATCTCAGGCATGGAGATCTAAGGCATCTATTCCTTGAGGATGCTAGGAGAAAAAAAAAAAAAACTAGATTGTTACCCTTGGTCTTATGAGCTGGGCCAGCCATGGGAAGAGTGATAAGTCCCAGAGAGAATGTGTACAGAAGTGCCCTGGATGTACAGAAGAGGCAAGGGTGAATGAGTGAGACATGAGAGCAGATATGCCCTTTATTGGGACATCTTGGAAAACCAGGTTCCAGTTGCTGGGCAGGTGCCCGCCTGAGCCTGCAGAGGTGGTACCAGCAGTGAATTGAGGGATGGCGTGTTCTTTAGGAGTGCAGGAGCCATCGCATCTGACCCTTCTCTGGAGGTGGCATGCATCCATCCCAGTTGGCATCCTGGGAGCTGGTGCCAGCTGGTGCGGGGGCTGGCGTATCTGGAGAGCACCTTGTCCCAGGCAGGAGGAGCAAAACTGCAAAATATGCTTGAAAATGGGTGAGGTCAAAATGGGCTCTGGAGACCGTTAAGTTTTCATCAGACCAGATTTCTTGATACAGTAGCAGAACTTTCCCCAGGAATCTGTAGGTATCTGTAAGACAGCTGGCATAGATTTACATCATAGCAAAAGGGTTAAAAGTCCATAGAAATTTAAGGACTCTTAAGAACTGTTTGTAGTCAATGCTGTATCTGTTTATCAAAACTGCATTTATCAATATTAAAACTTTGAACCTCCAGAGTTCTATCTGAAACTAAACCTGTACCATGAAGTCTGTAAATGAGGCATACCTGTCTGTATTTTTTGTTTGTCTGTTTGTTTTTCAAGACAGGGTTTCTCTATGTAGCTTTGCGCCTTTCCTGGAACTCACTTGGTAGCCCAGGCTGGCCTCAAACTCACAAGAGATTCACCTGGCTCTGCTTCCCGAGTGCTGGGATTAAAGGTGTGTGCCACCACCGCCCAGCAACCTGTTTGTATTTTTATCAGGAAACTTATTAATGAGCTATCAAGGTGCTTGTAGTCTTGGGATTGGGGCTGTTAAACTGGTACCCTAGTCATCAAACACCATCAGATCTGAGAAGGATAAATTTTAGAATTAGTGAGACAGCTTTCCAGCTACCTAGGCAGCAATCTCAAGTCTCTCTATGGTTATTGGGGGACAGAAGCCCCAAAGACAGCAGTTGTTCAGCTGATAGGCCCAGAAGATCTGACAGATTGTTTTCTGTGAAGTAGAAATTTGGAGAGGTCATCTTACCTGTCTTGGCAGAGAGGACAATCGATCCCTATTGCTCCTCTTATTCACAGTCTGGACAGGATCTCAGCTTTTCGCTGTGTGGCTGGCCTTGCCATAAGCTCCCAGATGGAAGTTCTTCTGTGGCCATCCATCTTCTTGGAGAAGATACAGGATACTGCCAGGAGCTGACATGTCTCTTCATCATAAAAAGCTTTTATATTAAATACCATATTCTCAGATCTCTACAGGTGTTTGAGGACTGGGGGAACAAAATATGTTAGATGTGAATATGCAGGTTTCCCAGTTAGTTACAGATTAATGAAGTTAGCAAGGACAGGGAGGTTTACATTCTTATGCCTGAATAGACCTTGAGTAAGGAGATGTAGTTGGAAGTTTTCCTGGTCCCGCCTGGCTCCCACAGCCCCACAATCCCAAGCCCTGTGGTCCCGCAGCTGCTTGGACCTAAATAAACACACAGAGGCTTATATTATTTTTAAACTATGGCCATGGCAGGCTTTTTGCTAGCTAGCTCTTACATCTTAAATTAACCCATTTCTATAAATCTATACTTCGCCACGTGGCTTGTGGCTTACCGGTACTTTACATCCTGCTTCTCCTGGTGGTGGCTAGCAGTGTCTCCTCTGCTGTGTCTTTCTCTTTCCTCTCTCTCTAGTTGGAATGTCCCGCCTAACCTTATTCTGCCTCACCATTGGCCAAACAGCTTTATTTATCAACCAATCAGAGCAACACATATTCACAGCATACAGAACGACATTACCCATCAAGGAGAGACATTTTTTAAGGTGTTGGCAGTGATATCTGAATCTGTTACTATTTTTAAGGCCCTGTAGTTGTAGTCCTGATCTTTATTATTTTTATTATATTTATTATAATCCTGAATGATTTATATAGAAACAATAATTTCTCAAGGTTATATACTACCTCTTTCGTTCTGCATAAAGAAGGTAAAGTGTCTTATTGCAATATTGGGTCCAGTTTCCTGGTATATCAATAGGCATTTGGTAGCATTGGTCCCCTATGCCCTGCCTTCTAACCTGTCTTGGGAACAGGGAACACAGGACGACGTACTCTCCTCCATAACTGCTTCAGGCTGAGACGGAGCGCAGATGGTCAGAGCCCCGGGAGGCAGGCAATGGGGAATTTATCAGAAGTATGTGCTTATCTGACCTGGCTGTAGAGACAGGAAAGAGTTACGTTCGGCTGGACTGGTCCACATCACATAGACAAGAGTCTCTGCTGGCATCTGTAGCTGGGAAACCTGGCGGCTGCTTCAATGTGTCTGCCAGCCTGCTGAAATATAAACTAGAGAAAAAAGTTAAAATTTATGAGTTTATTTGGAACCTTTAGGCCCATGGTCTTAGTAATTGGAGACCAGGAGAGAGAAAAATGCCACTCTCAGGAATAGATAGGTGAGGAAAACTCACTTATCTGGGGTTCTTTTGACCTCTCTGAAGTGGATTCAATGGCCTCTTTTGATCTTCTGAGGTTTATATGAATTCTTATTTTATAAAAGAACATAAAAGTTTGATATAGGGCTTAAGAACACTGCCTGTTCTTCCAGAGGTCCTGAGTTCAATTCCCAGCACCCACATGGTGGCTCACAACCATCTGTAATGAGATCTGGCTCCCTCTTCCGGCCTGCAGGGATACATGCAGACAGAACACTGTATACATAATAAATAAATAAATCTTTTTTAAAAAAAGTTTGATATATTAGTATTATCAATCAGTATTGAAATCCAAATTATAGAAAAGGGAGGTGATGGATAGCTAACCAAGGAAAACTTAATATCCTGAGCTTGTGACCCAAACAGTATCAGAATTGTATTAATGTTAAAATCTGAAATTTTAAAATCTTAATATAATGATATCACCTGCATGTGGTTTCACTGACGCCCTGGAGGGGAGTGCATGCACCTCTGAGCCCTGCCCATATGAGCAACCACGGAGACATGAACTCCAAGCCGCAACTGGACCTCCCCCCCCCCCCAGATG